TCTTCCAAGGTCTCAATGAGCTCTATGCGGTCAACGTTGGTGGCAACCGAATTGAACGTGTTGAACCGTTGGCGTTTGCAAATTTACCAGAAATCAGCAATCTCGATATAAGGTTAGTGAAATGTTTATTTCAATTGTAATCTGCCTCATATTCCGCTGATTAATCATTAATCGACGAAAATGCAGAATAAACATTTGAGTAAGTGAACGGAATGGAGAGAACACGATTTTTAAAATCAATATTCTTAAACTGTTATAAAAACTGGAGGAACAGAATGAAACAGTTTTTTGAATTATCTCATAGCTTCAACTAAAAATCAGCTACTAACTAAGGTTGAGTTGATAATCAGGGGATTGATTAGGTAAATCTTTTGATCTTTGTGTGAATGAATTTGAACTAAATGAACTTGAGGTAATGAATCTAAGCGCATTGTTTCTGAATTTGAGGTGATCATTTCCGTGCAACAAAATTTCATTATCTGACTGATGCACAATGCAATTTTTCAGTTTCAATCAACTGCAAACGTTGCCCGAGAACACGTTCATGAATTCGTTCATACCGCATCCGAACGAACGACGTGTGATGTTCGTATGCGGTAATCCGTGGTTGTGTGATTCGGCACTGAATTGGTTCCGCCAAATGTTGCGTGAGAATGTCGATATTGACATCAATAAACCGGGATGTACCGCAGTTTGTGTTCAATCCATAAACGGTTGCCCGCCCGAGGGGACACCTCTGAGGGCTGTCGACTTCTGCGCCAACGACACAGCACTACCTCTGACCGGTAGTGCGCTCTCATTGGTTGGCTGGATTATTTTAGGTAAGCATTTCATTGTATTCGTTTAATCAATTCTGTTACACGCTTGAACCCAGTTTCGGTTTATAAAGTCAAGCTGCAGTTTATTCCTTACATATTTCCCTATAATTCCGTATAAGCGCCTGTAAGTCTGTAAGTAATTCTCTATAGAACAGTCAAGCAGAACAAACGAGCAAGTTCACCAATCTAACTCATCGTGAAGTTTCAAGTAATAAATTTCTCATCAAACTCCTCGACGGACTAAAATTTCCGGAGGGAAACCGCAATAAGTCATATTTGCATATATCAAATCCATACCAAAGTTTGACTTGATCTCACACAATGTATTGATCTGCTTACTGAGATCCCTTTCCAGCTCAGTTTCTTGGCAATTAGGGTAACGCTAAAGATTTTCCACTGTCACCTTTTTGCATTACTAATAAAGACAAGACTAACATCAGGATTGCGGAATGGAACTACCCTTCAAATCATATTGTTGCGGTTAATCAGTTCTTATCAATGATGTTATTCGTTATCAGTTCTTATCAATTTTCAGCAATAATCATGACAATCTTATTGATAAGTATTTGTTTGATGGCACTTGTCAAGTACGGAATAGCTTATCGACGTAGGAAACTGAAGGATGAAGGCGTTCTGAGTGATGAACAACGAATGGGTTCATCAACAAGTGGGATAATTCACTTTCATTCATCTCATAATTTGATCTCTTTTATCAAAAACAATAATGTTGCTTATTCGCCTACCAGTATCAACTGGAAAATTCGAAAATCTGATGAAGTGACATGAAAATGCGAGAATTGATATTATAAAAGTATAAATTATTGATTACGAGGTGAACGGTCGAAAAGATCGATGAAAAATCGTACTGAATACTTTTCTAGTAGAATATTGTCAATGTCTTATAACAAAGGTGAACAGAGGAAATTAAATCACTCCTAATTAAAGCTTTCCCGAAGTAATCGGAATGCTCTTACTGATCAATGTAGTTATGAGAGTTTTACGTTCAAAACGTCCATCAGTTCAACTTATATATCTTACTTAAAATCATTTTTTTGCAGAAACGTTCATGTTAAGAACCTTTCACGAGTATAATTACTTTATGTTAGCAACAGATTGTTCAGAACATGACATTCACTGATTCGTCAATGTAAAATTCGGGAGTATTTGATTTCTAATTGAATTTAGCCTCAGTTTATCGAGTGGTCACACCGTCGGTGGTAACACGATCACGATCGTATGTGGCACCAACAGGAATGATCGATCTCGACCTGCCACCAGCACATACTCTCGACGAGTATCCAGCAACATATTTATATTGAGCAAGCAACCTTTCAGATGATTATTTCCTCGATTGATTCAATGCAAAGTGAATTGAGCAGTATTTCAAGTGCGTCTTCAGCTGATCAGTTATGATTATTGCTAGCAATAAGCGATCGCTCGATTCAGTGGTGGTATTCATGTCGCGTAGTGTTGAAGAAGTGANCATGCTAAAGTGTTTAAAAGTTCAGATAGCTTAGTACACATTTGAAATAATACGCTAAGATTACACTCAACCATTGCTGTATTCATGAAAAAAGCTATATCATGTTATCGTGGACGAGAAAGAATTTAATTATTTATTTTGATTGAATTTCTTGATAAGAAAGCATAAAGGTTGCTAATAGTCCGATGATATGGGTCATCCCAGTGATAACACCAAAAAATAAGAACTGATTCAAACATTTGATCAAATACTCATAGCTGTGATGTGATTTTGTGTATATTTTGGATTTGTGCGTCTGTTTATTAAAGCTGACTTGCTATGACATTGTATGATGAGTTCATTTCCTTCAAAATGTTTGACTTCGAAGGTTTCGCAATGCTCTGTTGTACTGTACACTCTTTTTTGAGCTGTTCTTAGAATATAGGTCTATTCCACGGTGGAAATGATACACTGCCTTTTCTGTTGTGAGTTGTTGGTACACAACAATAATTATTAAGTAGCAAAACACTTATTACAATTAACTGCGTGTTTGTGATAATTGCAATTTCTTTCTTCATTTGTGTTTCTTCTTGTTTCATCTGCTTTGCTCATTTTTCTCAGCAGATCGTTTCTTCATTTTCTTGTTTCTTCAAACACGTATGATCGATATTCAGCGTGGCTTTTACATGATAGAAGCGTTCTCTTCAAAGTGATATCTCAAATTTAGAATCATCATGACAAAAAATCCTACAAAAATTGCTACGATTTTGTTCAGATCACACTTCAGTACATTTTTAAAGATCATTCTACCGTATGAAAACTGTCACTTTAACCTTCAATGATCAATCCGATTTACAATGCGATAGGATGTGTTAGAATATTTTAAAGTTATCACAGCTGTGTGGGATTGATTCTTTGAGGAAACGCTTGAATTTANAAGCAACAGTATTACTATCGGTGGTGTTATAATACTCTTGTCTTGGCTGTTAGTGCTATTATCAGTATCGATGTTATCGTTGCTACATTCCTGTAATGTTGCACTGCGGTGCACACCCATCAATGATATTATTCAATATCTTTATTGCATACTCAATGAAAGTCACTAACAGCTCTAGCACAACAAATCATCCGCTCATTTAAACACCAAAAATGCTTCAAAATATCCAATTTGCGAATAGAAAACCACATAACTGCGAAACGAAAATGCAATATAACCGAAAGTAAAATGTACAAAAGACTAATTAATCGATCAGTACGCGATAGTGACATTTCGGTTCCAGTGTCAAATCGGTTGTTATATAAGAGAGCAGAACATGTCCAAAAAAAGACGCGAGGAACGGAACGGAACAGAACAACTGAAGGCTAGAATAGAACAAAGCTGAACAATTTGCCAACAGTATGGAACAGAAACATCACTTGTATCCGTTCATCTGAAAGAGAACAACTAGCTTTTTGGGTTCCTACAGGAACACCTCAGCACAAATCGGGCAATGAAAATAGCAAAATAAGGCCACTACTAGACACATTCAACAACTGTTACCTACTACAAAACAATATGAAATTACAGCTGATTAAAAGGAGTCATGCTAAGAAACACAACAATAAATCATGTCTTCGCTGTCTCATCATGATGGAATAATAACAATGATAATATTAATAACACTGACCATAATGTTAATAAATGAATTAATAGCAACTTAAAACAACAAATAATACGGATCTGCATCAATGCTATTTTCACAACTGAACTACTAAATAAGAGCATTTTCAATGCATTAGCACCTTCTTTTCCGTAAACTCTACTCAGACGATTCACAAAAGGAGTAATGCTGATAAATAGACGAACAATCTCAAGCTATAAGACATACTAAAAATTGAGCACTTCAGCTTCCAAATTTGATTTTTTCATTGAAATACAATATCATACAATATTGAGAATATCAATAATAATAATACCAAAAATAATGTCAATAATAATAAAATACAAAAAGTAACAAACGAATATTGCTCACCGAAGGAAATCAATAAAATTACACCTCTCTCTGAGAAGAAATAACACAAAAAGTCGCGAAATCAGCCCGGAAAACTT